AATGTCTGTAGAGACCAAGTGGATTTTCGTAATTAGGCAATGGGGGAATTTCTATTAGATGACATGCTATTTGATTTAAAATCTGAGTGAGGTAAAAAATTAGATTAGTTGTGATGGTTGCACAACTCTCTGAATATGCTAAAAGAGCACTGAATTGTACACTTTCAGTGGGTAACTTGTATGGTGTATGAATCACAGATTTTTAAAAAATGTTATTATTGATTTTAGAGAGAGAGGGAGAAACATCGATGTGAGAGGGTAATATCGATTAGCTGCCTCCTGCATGCCCCCGAATGGGGATTGAGCCCACAACCCAGGCATGTGCCTGACCAGGAATCAAACCGATGACCTTCAGGTGCCTGGAACGGCATTCAACCAACCGAGCCACACTGGCCAGGGCCGAATCACATCTTCATGAAGCTTTTACTGTAAGTCTAAATGAAGAAGAGAAATCCAGGTGGAAATCTTTGGGAAAGAATATTCCAGAAGGAATAAAGACCTTGAGTACAAAGACCCTGAGGCTGGAAGGGGCTTTAGTCAGTTTGAAGAAAAGAAAGGTCGGGTGGAGGGAGTTTAATGAGGGAGGTGCCTGAGATGGTTGAGCCCAGGCTGCAGGGAGGGCCGGGCCCTGTTGGGACTTACAGAATCATTGGGATTTCGTCCAAACTGCAGTGGGTGGCCTTTGAAAGAATTAAAGTGGAGCAGTGACATCTGGTTTACGCTTTGAAATGATCACTGTGCTTTCTGTGTGGCAAGAGAACTTATAGGAGGGTGAAAACATTAGGGGGGAGAAGCGCAAAGAGCACCCCAGCACATTTCTACCACGCTCCACGACGGGTAGAAATTTGATGTCCAGAACCCACAAGCAGGAAAACATATGGCGGATGCTAAACCTCTAAGTTCTATAGATCAGGTAGCTATGCGGTTTTATATAAGTGATTAGAAGTATGGCCTTTGAAATCAGACAAAACTAGGTTTAATTCCAGGCTCTGCCACTTCATGAATGACTTAGGAATAGTTTTAAATTGCCTTACTAAAAGTAGGGGTAACAATACCCATGCTAAGTGAGTGTTTAAATGAGGTGAGGTTTGTAAATCCTTAACGTGACGTCTGACACACTGTAAGCACACCAAATTGGTAGCTATTATTATTATTATTCCTTATTGTAATAATTAAGGAGTCTGTTACTTTCACAATGGGAAAACTATTTTTAAAAACATGAAGTTTACTTACCTTTATGAGACATGAGCCTGTCAACCACTAAGAAGTTAAAATCACTGGATTGTACATAATCTAAGATAATATCAATTTTTTTCCTGTAATAAAATGAGTTTGAAACAAGTTTTAATAATTATAAAACCTCCAGTCAATTTTTCACTTTGGAATTTAGGAAGTATAAAGAAATCCCTTAGCAAACAATTTGTAATTATGAACTATTATAGAGTATTGAGTTGAATATTTTTAACAGTCCCAAAACAAAACTCAAACTCACATTTTCAACAATAGAATTATTATACATATTATAATGGTGGGAATAGTGGGTATGCTTTTTTTTTTTAATATATCTTTATTGATTTCAGGGAGAGGGAGAGAGAGTTGAAACATCAGTGATGAGAGAGTCATTGATCGGCTGCCCCCTGCACACCCCCTACTGGGGATCGAGCCCACAACCCCGGCATGTGCCCTGACCGGGAATCGAACCCTGATCTCCTGGATCCTAGGTCGATGCTCAACCGCTGAGCCACGCTGGACAGGCGATAGGTACACTTTTTAAAATTTACATTTACAGAGAATGTTAATGACACTGGAAAATGTTGCAGCGCAAGTGAAAGAATAGGATGTAAAATACCATATACATTGTTATCCTGAGAATGTAAGAATATGAAAAAAAATGTTGAAACTGAGCGATTTGGGGTAGTGGAAGCAAATGTGACTTTCTCTCATTTATCGCTTCTCTGCCCCTGAGCTCCCCTAATGTGCACAGGTTATTTTATAACAATGATAAGAAATGACAAGGTTCACATGTTAGAAGAACATATAATAAACTGTAGTGGAGACAATTTGTCAGAACTTGCTGGTCCTATGCACACATCTGAGGAGTCTGTGGGGAGAGAATCGGCACCTAAAAGAAGAGGCAACTGAATGCGGTGAAAAGAGTAGACGTTCTTTAGGTTCTTGCCCTGCTCACCGAAGCCTGGGGCGTGCTTGTGGGAAACACATCGAGAGCTGTGCGAAGGCCTCCACCTCTACGAAGCCACAACACAGCACTTAATCCTCTGCTATAATTTTTTTTCACACAAAAAAAGTTCATCCAAGTGAAAAGAAAAAAGAGCCCGGCCAGGTGTGGCTCAGCGGTTGAGCATCGACCTAGGATGATCAGGGTTCGATTCCCGGTCAGGGCACAGGCCCGGGCTGCGGGCTCCATCCCCAGTCGGGGGCGTGCAGGAGGCGGCCGATCAGTGACTCTCATCATTGATGTTTCTCTCTCTCTCCCTCTCCCTTCCTCTCTCTGAAATCAATAAAGATATATTTTCAAAAGAAAAAGAAAAAGAAAGATCGTAACTGTCTGCTTCCTCGGAAGGTTTCTCACTAGTGTGCGCATCCTGGGGGTGACTGCTACGGAAGAGCGCGCAGCGTAAGGAGCTCCCAGAGCCAGCCCCTCTCCGGGAGCGCCCGTCGCCCACAGCCCACGGAGCACCCGCACCTGCGACAGCGGGAGGGGGGCCGGAGCCTGCGCTGCGGAGCCTCGCCAGGCAGCAGGCCGGCGCCCTCCGGAGGGAGGCCTCTGTTAGACACTGGTCGCAGGTGCCCCGCAGCTGGCACTCAGCCTTCCAGAACTCTCTGAGTGCAGCGGCCGAAGGGAGCGAACCGTCCCCCGAGCAGCTTGCCCTGCGCGCCCGGGATGCCCTTCCCACGGGGCCCTTCCGATGCAGCTCCGTACGGCGTATCGGCCTCAGCATCTAGCACTTCTTTCAAAGAGTAACTTATTTTTTTCGCACCGTTAGATAAAACCGGTGCGTTTAACTGATTTGATGAACTGCAGTTCCTCACTTTATACCCTCCCAGGGGAAAAGCCTCTTTGAAAGAAACCTTGGCTGAGGCGGCCTAAAGTAGAGGCCTCGCTTGTGTTCTCGTGCACACCCTGGTCAAGAGCCGCCTTCTTTAGGAACACAAAGTATTGCCACTTTGGCGAAAATCTGAGGTTTTTCATTAGAGTAAAATCATGTCTGACATTTCCTGAAGCTTGAATGCAAACAAAAGTGATTAATAGCATTCACAAATATGCAAATAAATTCAAACCACAGTATTAAAAAGGCCCATTACACCTGAAACAAAACAGCAAAACCAGAATTTTTTAATTGCCAAGATTTTATGTAGCAGTTCTGTTTGTTCAGAAACGTAATAAGATAGAAATAGTACATTGGCAGAAGTGGAATTAAAGAGCATAAAATATTGTTTTACAACCGGAAGACAACAGGATCCCTTTCAAGAGCCTCATAGAAAGCTTTTAAGTTTCAATGCCCCTTTCTCATAACTAATAGGATTAACATGTGGCTTTTCTATGATAAAAAATAATCACGGTACCTGAATATTACATACATTCCACTGCAGATGACAAAACACTCTTGTAAACATATACTTTCCTAATTATTTAACCAATTTTTTCAGCTCATTCAATGCTTTGCCTAGCTTTCAAACATATAAAAAGCAAACAATTATATATACTTATACAGATTTTTTAGTAAGCAATTATCCAAATACATAGTTACTCATTAAATGAGCACACTAAGTGTTTAGTCTGTAGAGCTAGTTTGAAATCATGACTCTTGATTAAATATAAATGCCAACACCTCTCTTATGAGACTTTCAACTTCAAAAATGGCCTTAAAAAACTAGTCTGGGGGGTGAATCACCATTATATTCAGCAACTTAACCAAAACAAAGAGTTTAAATTCAAAGACTAAATTCAGAATTTGAAACAAGTAATTTTGTTCATTATATTTAAAAATTGGTTCTTTGTTCAAATTTTCAAACATAAACAATATTGACAATATGTATACGTGTGTGACATCCAATAAAAATGGCACTAGAGGGAAATTATCGATTAACCTAATGGATGAATGTCACTGCCAGATTCCTGCCTGCAGGTTAAATGTGGGGTTGCTAGGTTTTTGGAGTCCCTAGATTTTGGTGACTCTTTGGGACCTTTTGTGTTTTCCTTATACTGTCGATATTTCAGACAAGCCCTAAAGAACTTGAGTGGACACGTAACAAAATAAAGCTCCCAGCTGGATGGTAAAATTATGAATTCTAATACATCAGTACAGCAAATCTGATTCCTTTACTGGGCAAGAGCTACATTCTGAACTATCCAACTCCAATTAAAGTAAACTCTATGGCAAACAATTCATTTTCTCATTAGACAATCAATGTTACCTTCACTAGGCAATTCCCACTTAGCCTTTGGCCACAGCTGTTTTCTGTAAAACAAAGTTCTACATCAGCAGAGCATGCAAAAGGGTATGATTTCCCTTAGCAGGTGGATAAGGAAATCTACAATAGGGACGCAGGCTGAAGAGAACAGGAACTTTTAAGAGTCTCTTCTAATTAATTCACTGAGCTCAGTGATCCAGTGAAAGGAAATGGGAAAAGATGCATCTGTAAAGTTAAAGGTAAAAAAATCGGCAATGTTCCCCTGACCCTTCATTCTTGTTTCAAGAGCAGAAAGGGGCGAGAGATAACAAAATAGAACTTTTCCCTTAGAAAACTCTTCACCGTGCTGACTAATGCTCTTCAGTAAGTGAGAGCATTTCATTCCTTTGGGTGTGCAAATTAAACTCGACAGTCTGCAAAAACATGCTTATCACCAGTAAACCAATCAGCACAGCACAACAGAACAAGAAACAATGAATTGATCTATAATGCGAATAAAAGCATCTTAATAAAATCTATCATTTTTATTAAAAAGTTTTCCATTTTCTTATTTTAACCCTCACTCAAGGATATGTATTTATTGATTTGAGAGCGAGAGAGAGAGATCAGTGTGAGAGAGAAACATTGATAGGTTGCTCCCAGCACACACCCCGACTCGGGATTGAACTCGCAACCTAGGTATGTGCTCGGACTAGGAATCGAACCCACAACCTTTTGATGCACAGGGTGGCCTTCCACCAACTGAGCCACCCAGCCAAGGCAAAGCCTTCCATTTTACACATCATCATTATTCAATAAATCATATTTACAGTGGTATCGATAAATGTCTTCACAATCTCGAGTCAAAGCCCCTCCTTCCCCTTCCTGCGTTCAGTCATCTTTCTTGTCTGAGGGACTGTCGTCGTGACTTTCAGGGCTGACTTTGTTACTTGCCACGAAGGGAGCTGCGGGGCCTTCCTCTGGCAGTGAAAACACATGGCCCGCCTGGAGGTCTAAGTACGTTGTAAATATCCTCGCATATTCCGGATGCCTTAGGGCAAAACTTTTAAATTCCTCTGGAGGAAGGGATGAAACAAAATCCAATAAGTTGAGGTGAATCTTCTTTTGGCAGGACACGGATTAACATATGACTTTAATAACATAATTATTGTCAAATCCTATTACTCAACCCTCATAAATCTGTACAACTACTTTGGAAGACAGTTTTTCCCTGATCTGGTCAAGGTGAAGATATGGGTGTTCTATGACCCTTTAATTTTATCCCAAAATGTATGTAACCTAGAGAAATTGGTGCCTATTGTGTCCTGGGAGACACCGATGAAAATGTCCACGGCAACATTATCCATGATAGGCAAAAAATGGAAATAGCTCAGATGTCTGTCAACAGTAGAAGTGGCTAAATAAATTGTGACATATTTGGGGAACATAATGCAATATGGCAATGAAAGTGAATGGACAGCTGTGTTGCCACAATGCGGGCGAATCTTAAAGCCACGGAGTTGAATGAAAAAAGCCAGATACACCCATCAGTGGATGAGTGGATGAAAAAGCTGTGGGACATTCACACCATTGGATACTACGCAGCTGTAAAGAAGGAGCTTGTACCCCTTGGGACAGTATGGATGGACCTGGAGGATATTATGCTAAGCAAAAAAAGCCAGGCAGAGAAAGACAAACATCAATCACATGATCTCACTTATATGTAGAATCTAAAGAACTTAATAAACTGATGAACAGAATAGATTCGGTGACATGGAAGCACGGATCAGATTGACGAATGTCAGAGGGAAGGTGGGTGGGGAGAGATTAACCAAAGAATTTATATGCACATATGCACAACCCAAGGACAGAGACAAGAGTGTGGTGAAGGCCTGGGGAGGGGGGAGGGGGAGAGGAAGGAGTCAATGGGGAAAAAAGGGGACATATGCAACATTTTGAACAACAACAACAACAAAATGAAAAAAGCTAGATACAAATGAACACCTATTGCACAAGTCCATCATATAAATTCCAAAAACTTAGACAAAACAGAAATACCCTGTTTAAAGATGTGTCCTTTTGTGGTGAAGTGCTAAAGTAAAGCACGATGCAGACTCCTTTCTGAGTCAGGTCAGGTCAGGAGAGAAGAAGGGTTGCAGCTGGGAAGGGCACCCAGGGGTCCCTAGGGGTCTTGAAAGGCTCTATTTCTTGACCTGAGCGGTAGTTACACAAATGTTCACTTTATAAAAAACTTCATTATGCTCCATGTTGATGTTGTATTCAGTTTTCTATATTTCTGGGGGTGTTTTTTTGTAATTAAAAAGTATAAAAATTCTATTACCCAGGAACTTTCCATTACTGCTTTTTCAAACTATGTTAACCCTTCACTCTGGTATGGAAATATTACAGTCTAGAAAAGCTGAGCCCCGACTTATGATCCGTAAAAAAACAAATAGAGTGTACAATAGATAATAGTCCTACACAAGCCCCTCGGAGCAGCTGAGCTCTTTTTATCTCAGGTGTCTTAGATGTAGGAGCTGAGGTAGAGGTGTAGAAGGCTTACCAAGTTAACCATCAGCGTTTGAACCGCAAGCCTCCAGTAACCTGGAGTTTCTAAAATATGATGCTACCCTCAATTCTGAAATTTTTCTACCCTTTTCTGTTTGGACGGAGTAAAGTTTATGGGGCTTATACAGCAAAGGGAACCTGGTCTTTGAATCAGCTTGCTGTGTGGGTCTCTAAAAAAAAGGATTTCAACCCAATGTCCTATTTCTATCCATTTATTTTCTTTTAAATCCTGTGATAACCAAGGGCCTACTTCACAGCACATCAGACGACCTAACAACTCTTAAAGATAAAACAGGTCTTAGCGACTAGGAAATGGCCAGATGGAGCCTGAACCATTCTTTGCAACTGCAATATTATTTTGCAGCCATATACCACCTTATAGTTCCAAATCAGGTAAGCTACGCATTGTAATTTCTTAACATCCAAAATAAAGGTGCATCTGCATGAGTCTGTTTCAATGACGGAGACACAGAGAGCTTAGGTGACTTCTAAGATAAATGAGAGTGGGGTTGATCTACTGAAACCAAGAGCTTTAATTTCAAGACGTATGCTCTGTTCAAAAGATCAAGGTCTCTGTCCTCTTTGGGGATGTCAGTGGAATTAAAGGGCAATTCATTTGTAGAAGAAGTGCCGTGAACTAATTTTAAGTGGAATTTGGGCATTAATATGGCTAATGGAAAACCAAGAACGAAAACAATTTAAATGATCACAGTTAAACAACTTAAAAGGTCATATTGATGATACATTTCAATACTTGTTCTTTTATGAAATAATACTTAAATATCCCCAACATTCCTGCAAAAAAAGAATGTGGGCTGGTACACTATCAGGAAAAGGGAGATATTCTGTGTATTCTGAGAAAAATAAGGTCGACCTCCCCAAAACAGTGCCCATTTCCCTAAAAAATTATTAAAATCAACAGGCAAAATTATGACTACCTACAAATAATTTTTAGTATTAGCTTCCATTGAAATAGTTATTCCAAATAATTTTTCAAAAAATGGTAGTTCAGAATAATAAAGATTCCTAATTATAAAAGAAAAATGGTCAGAGAATGAGTATGCATGGGGTTCATAACTTGTAAGTTTTACCTTGGTACATACTTCCCCGTTTCCTCCC